TGTGTGTGTGCGCGCGCGCGCGTGCGTGTGTGTGTGTGTGCGCGCGAACGTGTGCGGGTGGCTGCATGTATGCCCTGCATGCATGCACCTTTGCCCCTCACACATTGGTCTCACCTGCTCAAGCTCAGAAGGTGCCGTCGTGTTGTCGACAAATGGAGTGCAATCTTCGTTTAGTAGAAAAGGCTCGGCTATGATGGGACTGACAAACGCGCCGAATCCGTAGAAGAAGTGAAGGGCCTGCATGCGCGTAGATGATCCATTAAGTTTCAAAAACATACGTAAGAAATTCTTCGTTTGTTCTGCAGGGTTCTATAAGGGGGGGGCGAGGTGGGGGAGGAACGGATGAGGAAAGAAAAGAGGAAGATATATAATGATAATTAAAAAGGATGAGAGAGGGGACAGTGGAAAGAAAAGGCGACGAGAGAGTAGTGAGTATGAAGTGAGATTGAGAGACAGACGAGAGAGAATGCAGGATGAAGAAGATGGGAGGGAAAGGTAAGAGGAGAAGGAACGGGGGTACATATACAATATAATAATAATAAACATATAATACAAACTTCAGCACGAGACATCTGTTCCCTTGGTGACTAGGGGGGAGTGAAGATGGAGTGATGATGGAGAAGGGTGGCGGAGGGGAAGGAGAAAAGCAGAGAGTGAAAATGTTAAATTGACTACATTACGAATTCTCTATATGGTGTATAATTTGTGTTGTGCACTAAATGTATCCTCAAATTCTTACCTGATAAGATTGTTTTACAATTAGTTAAAATTTCAAAAAAACTGGGCGATTTGTTATATTGATCACGACATTAAATGCTTGCTAAGGGTTATGTATGAGTCACGAGCGTTTGCTCACATCGAACGGAATAGCAAAATAAGAAGTATAATGCAGCAATTTAACCATAACAAATAAACAGAATCACTTACAATTTGTGAAAAAGTATAATTTTTTCTACTCTTACTATTTACAGTGACGTATAATCACATTAAGGATACAGTCATGGTTACGGACAGTGAAGCAATCAGTCTATCTCGTGAAGGTACATACACCTCTCTTTACATCAAATAATATATAATATAATATTTAATAAGTTTTAATAACACGCACCTGTAGAAACGGCGACACCTCGGATGCGTAGATGCGGATTAGCGACACGTTCAGTACGGTATCGATGATCCCCATGTTTACTCCCATCACAGCCAACGTGATGCCAAGCATACCTGAGCAATGCGAAAATATCTGTAAACAACTCGCCGTGGATATACCTGCGACGTATGCGCGCAAACCTCCGCTAGCAGTCTCATATCACTTGTGTAGGTGGGTGTACTTAATGTGTAACTGCGAGGAAAACAGCGAAATACAGTAATTGGAAGCGAGAGCGTGGGATGATGGCAGTACTGTTAATAGACCATTATGTGAAGGGAAGGTTAAACAGATTGTGCGTGTGCGTGTGCGTGTGCGTGTGCGTGTGCGTGTGCGTGTGCGTGTGCGTGTGCGTGTGCGTGTGCGTATGCGTGTGTGCGTGCGTGCGCGCGTGCGTGTGGGTGTGTGTGTGCGTGCGCGCGTGTGTGTGTGAAATGAAATATGGCCTCTGCCGACGCCATTACGCATGACGAACCAACCTACCCAAAAGCATGCGTTTAGATAGGCAGCCTCCGTCTGGTTCATGTCGGCAATGCTCTTAATCCCGTAAGAATAGATATAGCCGCCGAAGGCTGCCTAGAAACAACACAAGAAAACATCAATTGCAAAGGTACCGCTGGTATCGAGGGTCTATATACGGTCTACGGTATATCAGTCTGTACGAGGGATTAGTTAGCTACTATTAAAATAATCATCTTTCAAATAAATCGAGAAATGAATAGATGTAGACGGATTCAGTGTCACCTGTCACCGTACATATTCCTGATGACTTCAGCATTAAATTACTACGCGTTTGTTCTGTTCTGGGCTATAAAACAGTAAACGAACAGCAAAAGTTTGCGCCCTGCATTCGTAATATATTTACTGCTACAAATAAACTCCACCAGCACTCATTATTGTATCAAGTTGTACGTTTATATTAAAACAATTATTTTTTAAACAAAATTGAACTGTTAGACAGTTCATGATATTACGTGGCCCCTAAAACCATGGGACCCCTAAACCGCGAGGCCCTTAAACCGCGGGGCCCGTAGCAAATGCTACTTTTGCTACTACTGTTAATCCGGAAATGTACATACCTGCATTCCGTCATAGAGAAACAGCATCAGTGCAGCGAGCGCCGTGATGGCTATGACGTGCCCAGATTTCTTCATGCAGCAGCTTTCCCACAGACGTATTGTCGGTCCCTCAGCCAACACTGGTTTCTTCCCCTTCGGTTTCTCTTCTTCTACAGCTGCGCTCGTAAAGGGGATCATGACGTCACTACGTATACTCACACTGACATGTTGTTGGGGGGGGGGGGAAACGAAGGGAACATTTCGGGGATGGACAACGTGTACGCTCTGGTAAACATGTCCATTTACCCAATAGACGGATGAAGTTGTACATGGACACAGAAGAGGACGTTATTATAAGGGGCGTAAAAAATTTGGGGGAAATTAAATAGCTAGGCAGTGTGTGACAGAGCGATAATTATGAACAGGGTTATAGTTATAACCAAGAGCTAGTAACACCAAAATCCAAAAAATCTGGACAATTTGATATATTGATCACGAGATTAAATGCTTGCTATGGGCTATGTATGAGTCACGAGTGTTTGTTCACATCGAACAGAATAGCAAAATAGGAAGTATAATGCAGCAATTTAACCATAAAAAATGTACAGAATCACTTACATTTTGTGAAAGTGTGGAAATGTTTTTTACGTTTACTATTTACGGGGCCGTAATCACTTTAAAGCGAGGCAAGAGAACGGTGAAAGTTAGCAAAATGACAGCCAATACTTTGTCAAGATGTTTTCAAGATGGCGACGGCGGCAAGAGAGAGAGAGCGAGAGAGAGAGATAGAGAGAGAGAGGAGAGAGAGAGAGAGAGAGAGAGAGAGAGAGAGAGAGAGAGAGAGAGAGAGAGAGAGAGAGAGAGAGAAGAGAGAGAGAGAGAGAGAGAGAGAGAGAGACGAGGAGGAGAGAGAGAGGAAAGAGACAGAGAGAGACACACAGGGAGAAGGGGAGAGTGAGTGAGAGAGAGGAAGAGAGTGGGAGAGAGAGAGGAACAGAGACAGGAACAGAGACAGGGAGGGAAGGAACAGCGGCAAGGCAAGACAGGGACAGGGAGAGGAACAGGGACACCGTGCAGAGGGACAGGCGAAACGAGGAGCATGGGGACCAGGGACAGCGGGACCGGGACCGGACGGACAGGAGATAGGTGGCAGAGACAGAGACAAGAGACTCTCTTACTGTTACTAGTGCTCGCGCTTTCTGTTTAACCTTCCCTTCACATAATGGTCTATTAACAGTACTGCCATCATCCCACGCTCTCGCTTCAATTACTGTATTTCGCTTGTTTTCCTCGCAGTTACCAGTACACCACCTACACAAGTGATATGAGACTGCTCGAGCGGCGAGGTTTGCGCCGCATACGTCGAGGTATATCCACGGCGAGTTGTTTACAGATATTTTCGCATGGCCTTCAGGTATTGCTTGCGGCATCACGTTGGCTGTGATTCGGAGTAAACATGGCGGATCATCGATACCGTACTGAACGTGTCGCTAATCCGCATCACGCATCCGAGGTGTCGGCCGTTTCTTTACAGGTGGTGTTATTAAAACTATTTAAATATTATATTATTAATTATTTTGATTGTAAAGAGAGCGTGTATGTACCTTCACGAGATAGACTGACATTGCTTTCACTGTCCGTACCATGACTGTATCCTTAATGTGATTATACGTCACTGTAAATAGTAAGAGCTAGTAAAAAAATTATACTTTTTCACAAATTGTAAGTGATTCGCTTTATTTGTTATGTGCTTAAATTGCTGCATTATACTTCTTATTATTTTGCTATCCGTTCGATGTGAGCAACGCTCGTGACTCATACATAACCCTTAGCAAGCATTTAATTCCGTATCAACTTATAACAATCGCCCCATGTTTTTTTGAAAATTTTAACTACATTGTAAACATCTGTATCGGTAGAATTTGAGGATACATTTATGCACAACACAAATTATCACCATATAGAGAATTCGTAATGTAGTCAATTTACATTTTTCACTCTCTGCTTTTCTCCTTCCCCTCCGCCACCCTTCCCATCAATCACTCCAGCTTCACTCCCCCTAGTCCAAAGAACAGATGTCTCCTGCCCTGAAGTTTGTATTATATGTTATTAGTATTATATTGTATATGTACCCCCGTTCCTTCTCCTCTTACCTTTCCCTCCCGATCTTCATTGCATCCTGCATTTCTCTCTTCGTCCTTGTCTCTCAAATCTCACTTCATACTCACTACTCTCTCGTCGCCTTATATTTCCCACTGTCCCTCTCTTCATCCTTTTAATTATCATTATATATCTTTCCTCTTTCTTTCCTCATCCGTTCCTCCCCCACCTTCGCCCCCCCCTTATTAGAACCTTGCCCAGAACAACGAGAATTTCTTAACGTATGTTTTTGAAACTTAATGGATCGCTACGCGCATGCAGGGCCCTTTCACTTCTTCTACGGATTCGGCGCGTTTGTCAGCTCCCATTCATAGCCGAGCCTTTTTCTACTAAACGAAGATTGCACTCCATTTTCGACAACACGACGGCACCTTCTGAGCGTGAGCAGGTGAGACAATGTGTGAGGGGCAAAGGTGCATGCATGCAGGGCATACATGCAGCACCCGCACACGTTTCGCGCGCTACCACACACACACATGCACCGCGCGCGCTGCACACAACGCACACGCACACACACACCACACACACTCACACACACACACACAACACACACACACAAAACACGACATCACACACACACACACACAACCACACACACACGGCACACGCATCCGCACCACACACACACACACGCACACACACACACACACCGAGCCCGCCCGTGGGCATAAAACCCTTGCTGCACGCACACGCGACCAGTACTTGCCCTCTTAAAAGCACCCAGGCACGCTCGCTGAATTCGAAAAGAATGCGCTCCCTACGGTCGATAAGTCACATCATTATGAAACTAGATTGACGGCGTGTTGCAAATCACGGCGCGTATCGGTCGATTGCATGACGTCATCTGGTTGCGGAACTCCGAATACCGCTGAAATTTTCCGTGTCGACCTTAAGAAAAATGCACAGAGTTTTGGCAAATCTCATGATTGGGTAAAAAGTTCATGTCCGTTTGTGAGTTGTCATTCCATTACAGGACCCTCATATTATGCGGACATTAGTAGTAAACTACAAGAGTTATAAATGCGTAATTAGTAATTAGTAATTTAGTAAACTACAACGAGTTAATTATGCGTACATTAGTAATTAGTAATTAGCTAACTACAAGAGTATTATTGGGTAATTAGTAATTATGTAATTAGTAAACTACAAGAGAAGTGGAATGAACTGGAAATGGCTTAAAGAATATCCAAAATATGTTGTCTTGCACTTTAGAATAAAAGTACATTGTTGTACACATCCTGTTGAATGTAGTAAAATGAGTCTAAATTCATTCCCGTTACGCAATGTACACCTTACCATGGGACTTGCCCAAAGTGTCGTCTGTGGTCGTCTTCGATCGTAATGTAATAATATTTCCCCTACGCGGCGGTTGGCGACGGATATGCAGCATGGTAAAGAATGGATCACTGGCGCGCGACACACTGTGAGGCGGCCCGCGACGAGACGAGAGTCGAAAATGCGCTCTGTGCGATCATGGCAGCTTGGCAGGTATAGGCTATTAGATACCTCCAGAGCGTACTAGCTTATGAGAGCGTAACAGCGGTGAAATGCAACCAACCATGTTGTAGTTCAGAGGAATTAGTAAACTTTACCCGTTTATTTTGACAGTTCTTTGCGGTGACTATGTATTCAGCCACCGTCGCAGCTAGCTGCCAACTCGAAGTCGATTTTCGTCAAAAACATTAGAATTTTACCGTTTAATATCTCAGGCGTACAGCTCCGGACATCGTATGGACAAGCGGTTGTTTATATATTATCAAAGTACGTGACTTGCTAAATAATAATACGCAAGGACTTGCCTAAATAATAATACGCAGGACTGCATAAATTAATAAATACCGCAAGGGCTGCTAAATGATAATACCCGCAAGACTGCTAAATAATAATACGCCAAGGACTTGCCTAAATATAATCCTGCAAGGACTGCTAAATAATTAATCGCAAGGACTGCCTAAATAATAATACCGCAAGGACTGTACAATAATGATACCGCAAGGACTGCTTAAATTAATATACCGCGAAGACTGCCTAAATAATAAATACGCAAGAGATGCTAAATAATAATACCGCAACGGAATTGCGCTAAATAATAATACCGCAAGCGCATTGCCTAAATAATAAATACCGCAAGGATGTATTGTCAAAATTTAAAACCGGTTAAAAGCTTACTAATTCCACTGAAACTACACATGGTTGTTGCATTCACCGCTGTACGCTCTCATACTTTACTACGCTCTTATCCTCCTTCTGCCCGGCAAGTATTCGAATCAATATCGTCGTCCACATCAGTCAACTTGTTTCAACGATGACTTTTGAATTAATATATCATCTATCGGCTAAATATGGCTTTTCGCGTGTCGTGCTTGCAGACCGGATTTGCGATCACAGCTGATTTATATTATAATGAAAACAGCAGTCACAATGGGATGTTGTTGAAGCCTATGCGAACCCAACTATGATTTTTTGAAGGTAAAACACACTAAGCAATCATTTTTTACCATATGTATTACTTACCTTTAGGGTATTTTCTCAAAAGGTTGTGTTTTTTGTACTTCTTGAAGCAGATAGTGAAGTCCGAGTTAAAATCGGAATAAGACGCAATTCGATTTGGAAGCGCGTGCCTGAAGTCGTGTTCAGTGTCTGCCGTGTTTCGGTCCTCCGTAACGATGGCCCCGCGGTCTAGTGTGGTCTGCTGGTTTCGTCCCCGGTACATGCCGCCGCGTCGTGTGTTGTGGTCTGCTGTTTCGTCCTCCGTACATGCGCCCGGTCTGTGTGTCTGCCTGTTCGTCCATCCGTACATGCCGCCCCCCCGCGTCTGTGTGTGTCTTGCTGTTTCGTCCTCCGTACATGCGCCCGCGTCTGTGTGTGTCTGCCTGTTTCGTCTTTCCGTAATGCGCCGCGTCTGTGTGTGTGCTCTTGCTGTTTCGTCTCCGTCCATGCGGCCCGCGGCGTGATGGGTGCGGGCTTGTCCTGCTGTTCGTCGTCCTGCCGTTAGCATGCGCCCGCGTGTGGTGGTGTCTGTCTGCTGTTTCGTCAATCCGTACTGCGCGCCGCGTTCATGGTGTGTTATGCTGTTTCGTTCCTCCGTCCGTGCGCCGCGCGTCTGTGTGTGGTGTGTCTGCTGAGTTTCGTCCTCCTTAACATCGCCCGCCGTGCGGTGGGGGGGTTCGCGTCTGTGTGTGTGTTGTGTCTGCCTGGATCTCC